TTTTTGTAGGCCTGTAAAATGGTTGTCTTTTTCTTGTAGGGCTACCAAAGAGTTTACATGGACATCGCTGAGATCAACATTGATGTCCCTCGTGCATACTTTATCTTGGAGCAGTTTGTTGACAAGAGCTTCAGCATGGGAATCATTGATGTAAAGTTGAGGGATCTCTGTCCCTGTCGGTAAGCACGCTGGTTTTCACACACATCTGACACTCGTCTCCAGAGATGTGCTTCTGTTTTTGTTACTCATGTTGTTGCTCTCATCTTCTCTCAGGGGCCGTAAGAGGTATGTCAGCGAGGGAGACGGTGGTGTTGTCAAACTTGAAAGCTACTGAGAAGACTTTGTGTGCCATATTACCCCAAAAAACATAAAGCTACTTTTTTACTTGCATATTTTTCAAAGTACCTGAAAAATGGTTTTTCTCCTTTCTAATGGTCAAAAGAAGGTACATTTCCAAAATTGAGGTAAGGGTAATTTAAACAAAAATGCACTTGTGATTGAAACTAAAGTAGATCACTCTCTCCAAGGTGTTTCAATATAAACATTTACATAAGCTAGCTCTTAAAGTGCCACACCTCTCCGTGTCAGTCATTCCACATTGTTTTGTACAGTATTTTCTTGTTTTCACTGCCACTCCTTTTGTGTTTTCTAGAAAGCAGTGTTTGTATTGACATGACTGGTTTGTGTCAAGAGCTTTATAAAAATGTATTAAAAATAAAATAAAATAAAAGGGAGTTTGTTGGTTCAATGCAATACTGGCTTCCAAACTAGCTACTGTTTCTATGCTGTGCTAGGTTTTCAGTCTTTAATCACACATCCGTGGCACGAGTTCTGTGCAAAAACGAATACCAATCAGGTAACTTCACAAAGTGGTGTGTTAAGAGTGTTTATTTTTATATTTGGGGAATAAGGAGTGTGAGAGACACCCTGACGTTCCTTGATTGTTGATTAAATCACTATGAAATCATTTCATCTGTTTTTGTCTGTTTAACACACAGTACTAACTGCATACTGCAACTTAAATAAGCAGTTATCTGAAATATAAAATAATAATAATAATAATAATGATAATATAACACTTTAAAGTAGTACCTAAGTAGCTCACTACCCCTACTGGCAAGTAACAGATATAATCTTTGCTAATTCCATGCTATAGATCATTCAACAATAACCACAGAACAGCAAGACTTTCAAAAGGGACAAAGAGGGATTAAACACTTTTTTTTTTTTTAACTCTGTAACGCCAGATTCCCTCCAAGTCCATACAAATACATTCCAGTGCTTGGAATCAGTGTGTTTGCTTGATCCATCTGAAGGACTTTTGCCAGTTTAGGCATTTGTTTTTTTCCAATCCTTCACTGGGTATCTACTGTAGTTGCTCCTTCATTGCCAGTTCCTGTTGTTTAACAGCCTCTTGAGCCTCCATTTGCATTTTCTCCAGTTTCTCAAGGGTGACTGATTTGAGTGGGAGCAGCTTTGGCTTACACAAAACCATAGTAGGGACATCTTCCATGGAGAGCTGTCCTGTGAGGTGCATTCAAACAATCCACAAATGATTAAATTTTAATTTAAGCATAAATGAAAATATTATGTAAAAACCTAGCATGTCTGCTATTTCTCATAAAAGTCTGCAGCACATTAGCTGTGAGAAATGTTCTCTTTACACTTTAACCTTTATAGTACTGCAAACAGAGCTACTGTTCTATTTAAAGGAGTTTCAAATATACGATGCTACATCTATAAACTTATATCTTTTCAACCACTCCGGAAGAATTCAACAATATTTTTGATATCTGGTCAACTAGTTACCAATCTGGCATCTTACACATCTGATTGTGAGCCACTGAACAGCTTGTTCTTACTAACAACCCGTACACCTTTAACTAAAGAAAAGCAATATTGTCCCAAATGTTGACCCGAATTATATTTTTAAGCCAGAAAAGACTTTCAGGAGAGACCACAGAGCATATCTTGATTAAATCTCCAAGCTATTGTGAAATTTCAGTTCACTTCACGTGTTGTCTTGAGAGACACAAACAACCTTTTGTAACTACTGCTGTCCACATAGCTTTGGTACAAACCTTGTTTAGGCAGAACTTCTCTGAATATTGATTTGATCTCTGGCATGGTGTCCTCTGAGTGCTCGCTGAAAGGTAAGCATATTTGGACATTTCACGACTTTTTGACACATATTCATAAATTCCGAATAGTTTTTGCATCATTAAATGCTCTCCGCTCGAGAGGGAATGCAAAATTCAAGGAGCCTGTTAAGTTTTATAGTGGGTATTACATAGTTTATAATAAACTGGTCAGAAGGTTAGCCACAGGTCAGTACACAGTGCTAGCTAGCTAGCTAGCTACACTAACGATAGCTTTGCTTTTAGCGAACGCTCTCTAATCCAAAGACACAATGTCTCACCAATGCACAACAGTATAAACAAATCAATACTATTCACCCACTCGGGCATGTGTAAAATGGAAATCTTTTTCTCACCTTCAGCACCAGGTAAAGATTACAGTTGTCAAGCCAACGCGTCCGCAAGAATCACGTGATTTTCTTCTGTTGTCTATTTAATTTGAACAGTGTTTTACTGGCACCTATAGGCAGCTAGCAGAATAGCAAAACTCAATAACTTGAATAATGTTTGACGCTATGAAGCAGGCTTTACAGGGTCATTGAGCGTCTTTTTGTACTTTTATTTTTGGACAGAACATGTGTATGGATGAGAGAGACACATGTGTGACAGTGTAGCTGTAAGGAGCAGAGGTAGATGAGTTTAAGCATATTGGAGACAAAGTTATAGAGACAAGACTGCTGCCAGGCAGGAGTAAAGAAAAGAAGACCAGAAGATTTGTTGATGTAGTGAAGGAGGACATAGTTGGTGTGACAGAAGAGGATGCTAGGCGTAGGATGTGATGGAGGCAGATGATCCACTATGGTGAACCATAAAGGGACCAGCCAGAGAAGGAAAATAATTATGTGCACTTATTGCACTGATATAGGTTGGTAATGTTTCTGTATATGCAGAGAGATGGCTTCTGGTTGGCTTGAAAATAGCTAAGGGGTGTGTCGAGTACTCACATTTTTAAACAAAAAATATTAGATCTGTCAGGGGAAATTACTGCAGATGAAAAGCATTATTTCACCTTCAGAGTTTTGTATATATTTCAAGTATTTTATATATGTTTCAGTGGGATATAAAAAATAAGTACCTTAAAATACAATTTTGAATGAATACTTGACAGCGTTATTAGTTTGTAGTATAACCACTCTCAAGTACGGATGTCATGGTTGCAACAAATATATAGATGATTTTGTCTGTGCATAATCTCTTTCTTCTTATTTTTTATTGCCACAATAAACATGAAGTGAAAATATGTTCTAGAATGATCTACTCTCACTTAGGATCTATATGAAACTAAAAATATTTTTAGAGCTAGACAAGTTGTTTGATATATACAACACAAAAACTCAACACAACGATGGGTTTTGGATCTTTTATAAACTGCTCAAAAAAATAAAGGGAACACTTAAACAACACAATGTAAATTAGGGCCCGACATCCACAGGTGTTAGCACATTCAACTTTGTAAAAAAAAAAAAAGTATTTAATAAGAATATTTCATTCATTCTGATCTGGGATGTCTTATTTTTGTGTTCCCTTTATTTTTTTATTTTATTTTTTTGAGCAGTGTATTTCCACTGTCATCTGTAAATTGTATTCACTGTAAATTAAATGTGTAAAGATAACAAACTGTATATAAAACATGGACATGACCACTGGTTTTTGTACTCCCCATTATGAAAGCTAACATAAGCATTTTGTCTGCCGCCATGTTATTGTTTTTGAAGCCAGAAGTTATCATATAGAATGAAAGGGTGGCATTATCAGTCCCATCCATAACTGTGTGGCCTCTGCCCCCTCGCATCACTAGTAAGTTATTGCAGTAACAATCACACTCATGTTAATTATTTGGTTAACAGTAGCTCCGTAGTGGATCTACAGCAATTGCACTAGAAATGGTTTTGTGGGGCATGGGCTTATGCAATTCGGAATGTTTGGATTAACCCCCATATGTCTAAATTAGACTAAAAAAGAGGCAATTTTTTAGCTTGTGCAACAAGGTTTAAAAGCATGAGCTCAGTCAAAGATTGCAAAACAAACTGCAGCCTTTATATATTCTGGATTCACAAGTATCCTAGTGTTTGGTGAGTTCATTAACCCATTTCTGCAGAGAAAGTCTCTCATATATTGTGCACTAAGCCATAACTACAGATATTTTTGCACCTTTATAGCTCTGACTATATTTCTCTGTGATTGTACCATGCTTGTATTGTTTATTATGCAGATGGGTTCATGATGTGGTTTAAATTAGATTGCTGATGCTTGAATCTGTCTTGTATTTGTAAAGGTGGCCCAGTGTATAGGTTATAATTATAGAATTGCCTGTTGTAGTACTGTTTTAAATGTACATTGAACAATTTTATTTATTCATTGGATTTTATTTTGCATCTATTTTGCAAGTCTACACATTTTGCTGTGTGTATTTTAACATGGGAGCGAATAACTTTTGGACACAGCCCCAAGTGGTTGCAGGTTGTTTTTTTTTTTTACACTTATGAGGGGGCGTTTTCAGGAGGGGGCGTTTTCAGGAGCTGAAAACTCAGAAAACTTTCATAAGTGTAAAAAAAGAAGAAGAGACATGACATAAATTAGAAAACAAATCCGCTTGCTTTTTTTAAGGACATTCATCTCTTTTTAGTTGTAGAATGTATTTGCACAGTTTTACAGTTAATAAAAGTCAGAGATTTGTATGAGTTCGTTTTCTTTTTTAATTTTCTTTTCAATACATTGTTTTAATGCTCCGGTTTGTAATCAATCATTATTATTGTCTCAGATTGATTTTCACAGATAAATGTTTGTAAAATAATGGACGTTTGATTGCATTTCAAAGTCTCGTGATAACATTGGTTAGGCGTGTGAATGACGCAGTTTGGTGACCGGGGGAGGGAGGGGAGCAGAGCAGCAGTGTAGGAAAAGAGGAGGAAGCAGCAAGGATGGCGGAGTCACACCTCTGAAGGTAAAGCAGTTATTTTAGTACATTAACATTGGACGTTTTTATCCCCACAGCACGGTAACGCATTGCTCTAGATGTAACGTACTTGTCAGCCTCTCGTTAAGGCGTGTGTAACAGCGATGTGTCATTTTGCGGTGGCGAGTACGAACGCACTCTTTTGTTCAGCTTCGGAATGGCCGCTGTTTTTCACTGTTTTCTTTTTTCTCGGCTCATATTCACAACGGGAACGGCGCTTAGATTCAGCGTTACAGGTTGTCGGCTCTTCTGTGGCCTTGCGTGGCTGCTCGGGTCGGGATATCAGCTGCCTTCACGCCTTCACAGGATGTTCTCTTTGGGTATCTGCTACCCGTATGCACTCAGCTGGCTACAGCAGAGATTTCCCCCCCTTCGGTCGGGTCGGTCTACGTCCGACAGCCGCTCCGCTCGGGCCTGCGTTACACACACACACACACACACACACACACACACACACACACACACACACACACACACACACACACACACACACCTCTGCTAATGATTAAGCTAAGCGCTGGGTGTGAGTATTAAGGGCAAATCTCGACACCCTCTCTGCACGGTCTAGCAAACACCCACCAATGGTCCTTTATTTCATTATGTGCTAATGACAGCTGTTTTGATTTTCCTTGTTTGGGGAAAAAAAAAGTACCGTTAGCTTGTAAGCTAAGTTGCTCGCTAGCTGACGGTAGCAATTTAGCAGTCTGGTTTAACTGACGTTTGCCGTGCCGTTGACGCTCAGCTTAGCTGTTTTTATTTCCTGCCTTGTTGTCAGTCGTCTTAGCAGGTTGCAGTTTCTCCCAGTTTAGAAAAGACTTTGAGACGTGTATTATATGTCTTAGTTTTATAAGTGGCTTAGCTAACAGAAGACATTTTAGCTTACTCGAGTTGGTTTACGACAAATAGTTGTCTAGCTTGTGCAGTTAGGTTAACAGTCACAACGTAGCATTATTAGCGTCAAGGTGTTACACTCACATTACTGATAATACACTGTCATACCCATATTAGGTGTTCATATCATGGAAATTGGGTGATATTGAAATGCGACTTCTCGACCTGGTAGCTACCGTTTCTGTCGGTAGTCTGTTTCCAGGGGTTTGCCATTTGCACACGTAGCCTACATGACCCCCCTCAACCTAGTGGGGTCATGTGGAGTTCTGTTTAGTGGCAACAGCGATAGCTGCCACCTCACCCCTGTTGTGCAATTTTGCGTCCTTCTATCATACGGAGATTCTATATTGACAGGCCTCAACTTACTGTGAAGTACCAGCAAGCAGATGACTGAATATTTCTTGAATCTGACTCTGAAACATTTCTTTGCTTCGGACGTGCTTTATTGCATTCTCTAATTAGCTGATATATCGGCACATGTATCATCTGATCCTAAAGGGATTATAATGGACAAACAAGGGAGAACAGTTCCACTCATGCCTGAATGTACTGACATTAGCAGATGGGCCCAAGATATCCTTAATGGATAACTTCATTAGTCTATGTGGGAAGTTCAAATAGCACTTTATGGTGGTGTTGTGGTTGTGTTGATGGACAAATGCATTAGCTTTTTCTGCAAAACCTTGCTTGAGTTCAGCCTCATATTTACATTGGCTAAACAAGTAGTTTCAGCTTACACACAGTCACACATGAGCATATCAGTCAGTTGTGAAGGGTGATCTAAAGGCTCATCCATAATTTACCGTTCTGGTCAAACAGGTTTGGCTGAGTAGTTGCATAATTTAACATGAGTTATGTCCTTTGTTGACTTATTAGGTTTTCCAGTCATACGTGTCTAGTTAAAATTGTCTTTCTTTTGTGGATTTTGTAGGGTTTAGCTAAGTAGTTGAACGATTGCTTGGATGGGGTTGTAGGCTTACTGCAATGTTAACACCCACTGGGCCATGTTTGCGTAGCAGGAGCAAGTCGGTTTGAGTTTATCCTTGGTACACTAGACTTTCTTGGTCTGACTAAGCACACCCAATACCACAGCATTAACAGTAACCTAGTTCTGACAACCGACCAAACCTTTTCCGTATGTGTGTGGTGTCTTCAGGTTGAACAGTCCCCCAAGAATTATGTTGTCATTTTACATGTTCTATGGCTTTTTCTTAGACTTCAGTATGTGTACAACATGTTTAGAATGAGGTGTAAAATAATAACAATAATCTCTGTGTATACTAGAGCCTTGGGGCTTACAGATGAGCCAAGTAAGGTTTCACTATGAGGATTAAGCCTGGGATATAGAACCTTTTGGTTACACATAACTCAGACCACATAACAACATATTAATTGCTAACCTGGTTATGATTTGTCTGTTTTCAGTGTCTGCTTCCTGAATATAAATGCACTTTTTTTTTTCCTGTTGTTTAAGAACAAATGAACCCTTATCCAAGTCTTTTTAGAAAGAGATTGTCTGCTGTAATGTGTTTATATTAACACAAAGGTACTATAGTGAGCCATGGGGTAACAGATGCTAAAAAAAACTAGCTAGCTTATTGCTAACTGCTGACTGGGAAATTATGGCTCAGCAGGAAATCTGCTCTGTAGCTACATCATAACCACAAACACTTCTGAAACTCTACACCATAACCTGACGTGTACCTTCCTAGAAATGTAACTACACTTTGCGTCGATGCAGCAATATCTCTTGTGCATTTCTGGCTACTTTTTCACCGCAGGTTTTATATTTATCATTGAGAGAATAACAATCATTGTCTCAGTAATAAAAAATAATAAGCATAACATCAATATAAGGAGTCACAGATTTCAGCAAATTGCTGGATGTAGATTACTGAAACTATCAGAACTGATGTGAGGGAATGTTCAAAGTGCAAAATTAGAGTGATGCACATAGAGCAGAAAAGTTACACTGATCATTCTACATGGTGTCTGAGTTTCTTTACTTTTAGGAGCACCTTGGGGGACCTGTTGTTGTGACTTAGCATTATTTAAATACAATTAGGTTGACTTGGATAGGATAGGACATTGTCTTACATGCTAAACCAGCTGAAGACCTACTCTGATATTAGTTTACAGTGGAGTGTTTTAATTTATGTAATATTTATTGTAATAAGCCTTAATAATATGTATATAATTTCTTCTGAGAGATGAGTTTAAATGTTATTTGTTGAGAAAGTTTATGTTGAAAAAAAGATTTCAAGTAACAGCAGTTTTCTCTAGATATCACTGATCTTTTTTTCATTCAATAAGATGACCTTATTTGATAAGTTATTTTTCTTTTTGGTGCAAAATGAGATTTCAGGCATATCAACACTGCCAGAAATGTTATCTTAAGGTGGAGTCAGTTTGCTATCAGTGTGTGATTCAAATGGTTCAAGTTGGCAATTGCATGCAATCTTTTTATGCTAATACAACAATTAACTGTGATAAATGGTCAAAAATCAAATATCTATTGCTATCACATATTTGTATCATTTATCAGAAATTCATATTGAACTGCTACATTTACACTCAACAACTTTCCTAATAAAAAGGATTATAACCAGAATACATCCAGCTCAAAGCCAGCTGAGTCGAGTCTCCTGGAAACGCATTCAGACTGGTGGTAACATATTGGCAATGTGTCTGCATTTATAGCTTAGAAATTATTTGCAAACCTTTAGCAGTCTCACTTGAGTGATTGCAGTAAGTCTAAGTAAGACTGTGACTGTTTGCAGAAAGGTTGCCTCCTATCTGGCCACCTGTGCAGTTGCCTTGCGATCAAAAGTGGTTGTGATTGTGAAACACTCTCAAAATCTGAGCAACCATTCAGACACTACAGTATGCAAAAAAAAATTGATGCCATCACCAATTTTAGTAGATGCAGTGAGGTTGCTATCCTATTTTTACTTGTGAGTGAGCTGTTAGCTTGTTCTGAATTAGGAGGTAGCTTTGTCAAGCTGAGTGTGTTCAGATTTGTTTCCTTGTAGTTTCCTTGTAACAAAATGTAATATTGTTGGGCTAAAATTATCTCAGGATTGGTGGTGCACAAGAGTATTTTAATTTCTGTAATACATTATTGATATTTGGTGTCCCTGTATCGATAGGGTATTGGCAGTCGAAATATCAAAATCTCTCATATTTGTGTCAGTTTTTCTCCCACCCGTATTGGCTATAGCATATCCCCACTTGAAAGGTTGGTGTCACATATTGTCAGTCTTTAGTATTTGAATATATGTATTGCTGTTAGATTCTATTTATCATCATTTATCATTGTGCAGGAACCTAGCCAAGTGAGGGGCTTTTGAATGCTGCCTGCTAGAGCCAATGTTAAAATGATCCAAATTGAGCAGGACTCCAGTATTTATAGCCAACCATTACATTCATGCAAATAGGGACTTGCCTTAACCTAGTGGCTGAATATCTTGAATCTGTGGTTGTTCAACAGCGCTCTTACCTGTTGGTGCTTCTTCTTAATGTGTTCTGTTATTATCCTTCTGAAGTGATAATGTATTTGCTCATTTAAATATTAAGCCACTTAGTGATTTTTACAGAAACCACTGCATTTATTTGACACATACAAATCATAATACCCTTGTTTTGCTTAGGGAAATGTTTTACTGTCATTGCTACTGACAATGATGATACGATAATCACAAATTCAGGGTTTATCCTGCATACAAAGAATTTTGGTCCCACCAGAGAGGTTTTGGTCACTCCCAAAGGAAATGCTCCAGGATTTGAATAAAAATATTTTTGACTGTTTCATTCATTGAAGCATAAAATGCATTCTAGTTGATCAGATTGCCATAAATGAGACAGTCTTTGCCTTATCTATGAGGCAACTGTTCTTTGGTGCTTAGTCCCAAGGACAAATTAAGCAGAATACCTATGAAATAAAAGTATATTTCTCCTTAGTTGACTGTATTCAGGTAAAATCAAGTGGAGCAAAGCTCAAAGGGAGGGGACAACATTGCTTTTCTCTCTTGGCTTCATTTTCGTTTTCTTTTACTTTTGTATGTAGCCTAAATGTTGGTCTTATGGAGCCAGGAGTTGCCCTAATCTCTTTCTTGTGCTTCAACTATATCAGCAAGAGACCAGCCAGTGCCTCGGACACGACTAACTCCACTATCAGCAGCAGAGCTTGTGGCATTCTGACCTTTGTCATCATATTCAGGATTGTTTTGGCAGCTGTCTTCCAAAAATTTGGGGTTGATATTGGTTCATTTTTGGATTAAGGAGCATCCACAGTTGTACTGGAATTTCATTTCCAGTAATGTGACAAGTTACCTTAAACTCTTTTTTTATCGGCACACACATGGTGAACCAAAAAAAGCAAAGGAGTGGAGAAAAATCAGAGAAAGTTTTCTCCATTCATTTGGATGTAGCAGGAGAAATGTTTTGTTACACATTCACGTGACTTCTTCAGTCTCAGTTCACTGTAGGTTTCCCTAACCTTATAAACAGTACTTTCGCATAATGACGAAAACTAGCACCACTGACTAACAGTGAGCCATGAGCTCAGTTTCACGATCATTACTATGCAAATAGTCGTGACCACTGATCAATGCTCATGTCTACCATTCACAGAGACGAGAGAAACAGATTTAAATGAAAGCAGAATGCATTGGACTCTTAACTGCACTGATTTGAAATCAGTGTGCATATTGTGTGCATAACATACAACAACTCTTATAAGTCTATAACTGCATTCAAATCTATACAGATGATTTTTTTTTTTACTTGCAGTTTGTTATAGCCATAAAGAAGTAAAAGGACAGGTACGGAGAGTACAACCATAAAAGGAAGTTGCTTGCACAGTTTGGTTTACATTGCTCTAGGAGTTGGACTGGCCTGGGTATTCTCATTTTCTTTAAATATGTAGTACACAGGTATGCCTGTTAGAGACAGTATTAGCTGTTTAACTTATTTATGACAGGGAAAAAGAGCAGTGGATACATCATTTTATTATTTACAGAAACACACTACAAGGCTTTCTCTCATGTAAGGGGTGCTACTATTGACCAAACATTTCTTTTACCCAAAAGGTCATATGACCTGTTGTTGTGGGAACTTCATGCTTTGAAAACCACTTCTAAAGATTACTCTCAGCAGTCCTAACCTTTTCACTTAGCTCTGATCCTGAGCCAAACCTGCCTCTCTTTTTGCTGCAGCTTAGCCTGTACTAGTGCTGGAGAGCTTACACAGTCATCAAGGTGCACCAGCAAGAGGCTAAACAGAGACGGCTGCCAGAGAGAGGCTGTCTTAGTTTGTCACATAAAGATCCAAAGGACTGTGTTTTGTCTGGGAGTATTTGAGACAAGTACCACACATGTATATTCTTTAACATCCGTTCTTGTTTGCTCTGGACATCTAGGGCATAAGTATTGCCTCAGGAGTCAATATGATCATTTCGTTGTAAATTTTGTATGGGGTGGTTAAGTGGGGTGTTAGACTTAGAACAATGCAATGTTTGTTTTGTAGTTGGTGTGAGGTTATGCTTGAGTGAATTAAACAGATTTCTTGATCTGGCAGAGCACACTCAATATCTTAATTATAATGACAGCATATGAAACCTGTTTTTTTAAGGAAGAATATTGTCAGTGTATCTTGTTTAAATGCCAGTGAAACACAATAAGAGAAACATGTTCCGGCAGTTTTCTAGCAATGTCGCATGTTCAGTACAACAATGAGTCTACTATAAGTAGTTAACTTAAGTGGGTAGATATCAGCTGAACAGCTAAAACGGTATAAAGTCAACCTTTGCTGACCCTTGACTTGTTAACCGTAGAGCTGTAGTAGCATCCATCATCCTCCCCCCCTTGAATAAAACATTTCACCTATCTTACCCATCTCGCCTGACCTCTATTCCATACCCTTCTCACACAGCTGAGTTTTTCCACTGACAGAAAAACCAGATGAAGAAAAAAGTCACAGCTCCAATCACATAAGTTGAGAGACTGGTCTGCAATCTCCCGGTAACCAGTTATGTCTGATAAAAGATACAGAGGAGGTGGGTGGAGGGTTGCTCAACCGGTTTTCACTGGTTGCGTGAGGTTTCTGTGAAATTGACTAAGTATTCCTTACCATTGGCAAGTGGTTTCAGGAGGCTGCTTGCTGCTATCGCCAAGTGAAATTGGTTGCAAAGAGCTATACAGTGCTGCACTGAAACCCTCTGTGCAATTGCTTTGGTCAGTAGGTTGCTGTGGTCACTTGTAGTTTGTATGAAATACACAAATATGTCTGAAAACATTTGCTGACCTTCAAGCGGTTGTGAAAGTGTGATATAAACTCGAAATGGACAGTTTTTTTCATTTAAAATAAAAGTCCTTAACACTAGGGCTGCCACAAACGATTATTTTGATAGTCGACTAGTCACCGATTATTTTTGCGATTAGTCGACTAATCAGATCATCATCCATTGAACGTAAAAGTACAGCTTATTGCACCAGCAGCATCTGCTCTTATATAACTATCATTAGCTTACAGCTTTAAGTGTTTAAGGTCTGTGCTAACTAAAAATAAAGACAAGATGATAGTTAATTGAATTCTAATTAAATGTGCAGATTGTTTCGGTGGAGTTTAATAAACTCAGCCGATTTACTCAGGAACAAATAAAATACTGAAAAAAGCCAAACAATAACATTTTTAAGTTATCTAAGTGACTTGTATATGTTTAACCTGAGTAGGGCGGTGGGTTTGAAAACGATCTGCCGGGAGTCCGGTGCTCTCATGGCCCCCGGCTAGCTATCGAGCTAGTGGGTAACAGACGCCTCCGAAAACGTCGGAGCGCTTTTGAAAATATGTGGTGTCTTGATAAACTGAGCAGATATTTGAGGTTTACACAGCTACATTCTCGCCTGAAAATATGTTAAACGTTTATTTTGTGACCCAGAAAGAATAATAAGAGTAATATTAAAACTAACTAGCTGCCGCCATTGTTGACAACTGCGCTGGGCCGCGCTATGAATTCTGGGACACAGTTTCTTCTTCTTCGGGGTTTAACGGCAGCTGGCATCCTTGTACATGCAGTGCTGCCATCTTCTGTTTCAGTCCGTTATTACACTCTTAAATCCTGCTACTTATTCCTGCTTTTGTGATCTTACAAAGCTTCAAATGACGCGTCGACTATTAAATCAGTCGTCGACGATTTTGATAGTCGACGTAATCGTGACTAGTCGACTAATCGTGGCAGCCCTACTTAACACTCAAACCACCATGTTTCAAAAATTGCAACTTTTTACTTTGAGGGTGAGTGGTCTGAATTTCCTATTTGTATTACACTCGTTAACAGCAGCAACCTGCTAGTGATCAAATCAATCACCCTCTTTTCAGTTCTTGCAAATTCACACACTGGCAGCCAGCAGCCTGTTGTCAGACGGTCTGGGAATACACGCTTCTCCCTAGCAGCCAGATGTTTTCAGGGGATCACTGCCTGGTTTCTAGACCTAGATGACTAAGGCCTAATGAGATAAGATAGAAGAGCATCTCAGTAGTCACATTAAGCTCTAATTCAAAAATCAGTACGGCGGTCAGAAATATCCTCCTGTTTTCTGTCAGTAGATGATGATGGTTCGCTACAGCTGCTTCACTCACATTAATTTCGTGCCTTTGCAAACCCAGACATCTCTGTGTTGCATGTGTTGATTCTTTTGAGAAATGATAGTGAAGGCAGATCCAATTTATTAAACTTTCATAATGATGATAATGGTAATAATGATTTAATGCATTAAAGAGGAAATGCAATAAAAATTACCTATGCTATCGCCGCTCATTTTTACAATCTTTGATCTCGACATTGTCATATATCAGCACAACTCTAAGGAGCATGTTTACATTTTATTCTCTTTTTTTTTCTCAGTTTTCATATACACATATTCTGATCTTTGCCCACTACAAAAGGACTAAAGATTTATTTTAAATGGTAATGAGAACTGCATTCTTTTAGTAGGAAACACTTTTAAGATTCATCATCAGAGTAGAAAATATTTCTAAACATTTTGTTCTTAGAAGTTCTTTCAAAAAGGGGTATTTCTTTTTGTCAGAACTGCCAGGAAAGAGTTAAAAGAAACAAAAATTGTGTGAGAAAGTGACTGACAGCTAGTTAAAATTTACTGTCAAAATCCAAAGTGTTATATTTGTAAAGTGTAAAAATTGCCAATTTAAACAAAATTTCTGTTTTTCTCCCACAGCAAACGTCGAAGGAATTTTAAAAGAAAAAAACAAACCTTCATTAACCTTTGCAACGGGAAAGAGCTTCCATCCGAAGGTCCTGGGATCGTGTGCTGTTCAAACACTTAAGCATGTGGCCTATGGATGCCACAATCCAGCTACTTCAAAGGATTTTTTCTCCCATGGCATTTTAACAAAGGGACAAAGTATCATAAGTATCCAAAAAGTCTTTGGATCCAAAGGCCTTTATTCCAAGGGTAATTGTAAATGTGTGGGCCTGCACAGGAATGTGTTTTTTAAAAGCCTCTTTGGCTGTCTGTCCTGTTTTTTTGGAATAAGTGACCTGACAAGAGAGACTCCCATGAGCAATCTTGTAGGTTCCCCGATAACGTCGACATGAGTAGTACTTTAGGTAAAGATAAAGAAACGAAAGAAAAGGACCCCAAAGGTGGTCCGGCCGGCTTAGTGAAGGATGGGGGCAAAGACCCGAAGACCAAAGGGAAAGATGCCAAAGAAGGAAAGAAGGACACCAGCAGCTCAACACCAGGTGTTGCCTTCTCCGTTGACAATACGATAAAGCGGCCAAACCCAGCAACAGGTACACGCAAGAAGTCCAGTAATGCAGAGGTGATCAAAGAGCTTAACAAATGTCGGGAGGAGAATTCGACGAGACTGGATTTGTCCAAGCGGTCCATTCACACTCTGCCCACTTCCATTAAGGAGTTGACACAGTTGACTGAACTCTACCTATACAGCAATAAGCTGCAGAGCCTGCCAGCTGAGGTGGGTTGCCTATCAGGCCTGGTCACTTTGGCCCTCAGTGAGAACTCCCTGACCAGTTTGCCTGACTCCCTGGACTCCCTGAAGAAGCTTCGAATGCTTGACCTCCGACATAACAAGCTAAGAGAGATACCACCAGTCGTCTATCGCTTGACATCTTTGACCACGCTGTACTTGCGCTTCAATCGCATTACAACAGTGGAGAAGGACATCCGAAACCTATCCAAACTCACCATGCTCAGCATTCGTGAGAACAAGATCAAACAGCTACCCGCTGAGATAGGTGAGTAAAATGGAAATGAATTTTTCAGGTGAAGGAAGGACAAAAGACAGCCTTTTTTTCACTGACTGTAAGAAGATTCCAGTGTAAGGGAGTGATTGACCATGGATTTGAAATATTTAGCTGTATTAATTTTCAATCAGGGTGTACGTTGTGATGGCCATTTTTTTAATGTATATGATTCTAAAACACCCCTATACACAGTCTCCTTCAGCTCCAGCAGTACTACATAGACCATTACTAAATTCCAAAATCCCAAACTAATAACAGCGTTGTAATTGTCAATGTTCTCTCTAACGTACTGTAGTGCATTTAAAAATTGTTGCTGTTAACTTGGCTGTTCCAATTCGGGGGGAAAAAAATCTGTTCTGCACATTTAAATCTGTATTTTAATTCTCTTTATGTGGAATGAGACAAAAGGCTTAGAAGTTGTCAGTGAGGCCAGTGTATAATATTGAAAACACCCTTGTTGAATTAGTAGTTTTTGTATTTTGTATGCATCTTCTTGCAGGGGAGCTATGCAGCCTCATTACTCTGGACGTTGCCCATAACCAGTTGGAACACCTACCGAGGGAGATTGGAAATTGCACACAGATAACTAACCTCGACTTGCAGCACAATGAGCTCTTGGACCTCCCAGAGACTATAGGTAATATAACTACATCATTTGTATTCATCAGTTTGTGAATCCAGCTACATTTAATAATGATACAAAAAGACTGCAAAAAATGTTTTTGGTTACTATTTCAGGAAACTTGGCAAGCATAAATCGCTTAGGTCTGAGGTACAATAGATTGTCAGCTATTCCCAGATCTTTAGCGCTATGTCGAGAACTGGAGGAGCTAAATCTTGAAAACAACAACATTTCAGTGTTGCCAGAGGTAAGTAGACCATGGATTTTTATCACAAATGTAATATGATATGTTTGTGGTCTACTTGTGAATATATCCAGTGTAAAACCCAACCGCATATACCAACAGCCTTGTCCTGCTCATATGATTCCTGCCATGCTACTGTTTCTGTATTTGGCCAGGGTCTGCTGTCAAGTTTGGTCAATCTGACGAGTTTAACACTGGCAAGAAACTGCTTCCAGTCGTACCCTGTGGGTGGGCCATCCCAGTTCTCAACCATTTACTCTCTCAACATGGAGCACAACCGTATCAACAAGATACCCTTTGGCATCTTTTCCAGGGCAAAAGTGTTAAGCAAGCTTAACATGAAGGTATAGTTACACGCTTGTAATACAATATACAATTAATATCTTTTGGTTAAATTATCTCCATTTTATCTGCTGTTGTTTTATTTTTGCCAAAGTCTGGTGGTAGTAAGGTATCACAAGAGGATAAAACGGGTGAATATTAAGCCTGGTTTTTACCGCAGACATATTTGACTTGTCGTAAAAAGAAAGGTCCAGGTGGACAATGGCTCTGTTATTGTCAAGTGTTCCAGTAAGCTGTGACTGTGAGCCAGCATGAGCAATACTAGGAGGCTGAAACTGAGGGAGCTAAATTGAATTTGAACATTATTGAATCTGTGCTGTGACATGTTAAAATATCTTCAGAGAAGAAAAACCACAGGAACATCAGGTATTGAACTGAAGCTTTGTTATACCTGAGCAATATGGAGTCACATACAAAAAGTTATGCACTCCTGTGAATTCATAGAAAATTTTGATATTTAACAAAGCAACAAATCAACATTCTGCACTTTTGGAAAGTTTGCTTTTATAGTAGTTCTAATAAAAGTGAGGTAGAACGATAAAAGTTCATGGAATCATTAAATATATCGAAGTCAAATATCTGTTACGTGGAAAAAAACACACGGTGAGTACTCTTAAAGTGTCATTTCAAAAGAATATGTTTTATTGTAAGAAGCATATCTAATGTAATCCATCAGTCTGCTCACCCTATTTTGTTGACTCACTGAATAGTCAGTTATATTGCTAATAACGCTTTTCCTTTGTCTTCGCTCAGGACAACCAGTTAACAGCACTGCCTTTGGATTTTGGTACATGGACTAGCATGGTTGAACTTAACCTGGCCACCAATCAGCTGACTAAGATCCCAGAGGATATCTGTGGTCTTGCTTCTCTGGAGGTGAGTCTTTCATACATAAATGTTGGGTGATTTTTTTTTTTTTTTTTTTTTTTGATTTTTTTTAGTATCTCAGCACAATATCTAAGAGATGATATTTGGTACAGATTTATAATAAATTATGAACATTGGGAACTTATCTTTGAGGCTAGTGATTTATTAAATAAACTCATATCAGCCGCTGTTGCTTTTTCTGGGTTTATTTTTTGGTTTAATTGTGATGTTTAATTGTTTAATTCTGTGAATCATTATATTTAATAGTGCCAAGCTGTCTGATTGTTCCTTATTAAAAAAAACCCTCATTGTCTTCACAGGTGTTAATTTTGTCCAATAATCTTCTCAAGAAGTTACCACATGGTATTGGGAATTTGAGAAAGTTAAGGGAGCTTGACTTGGAGGAAAACAAGTTGGAATGTCTACCTAATGAAATCGCTTATCTGAAAGATTTACAGGTAAGCCTACCATTGCTAAAATTGTCTGGTTGCTCTGATTTCTGTTGTATATGAATCAGAATCAGTTGTTTTAACAATCTTAAAAACTGAGATCCTAATCCTTTATCATAGAAATCACTTTAGTTTTAAGGAGCAGATACAGCACAGCCTGTCTACACATTAGATAATCATCCACAGTTGGTCTCCAGCTGGTAAATGCTGTGGCATACAGTGGAATCAGAAGCCTTTTTACAGTTTCATTGTGCTGTCTCTACCTTCGTTTCAGAAACTGGTGTTGACAAATAATCAGCTGACTATGTTACCCAGAGGAATCGGCCACCTCCTCAACCTGACTCATCTGGGTTTGGGGGAGAACCAGCTGCAACACCTTCCGGAGGAGATTGGTCAGTACTCCTCTTATACCCATTCTGAAAATCTCCTTTATGACAAAGAAAATACATGTAACCATTATTTTTTTCCATAAAGGCTAAGCGTAACCATTAGAGTTCAAGAGCTTAACAGTCCACAGTATGTGCCACCTCTGACCCTTCCTCCCAGTGACTGGACCAATCTGGATAGCTTTGTTAGTGTTGCGTTAAGCCAGAGATTAAAATGAGTGGGGAAAGAAGATAAGGTTAGTGTATTTTTAGAGTGTTTAGGCAGAGAGAAGAAGTAGGTTATAGATGTGGTATAGAGGTATTTGGATTTTCTTTTGAAGCAGTAACAGTGCAACATTTATAGTTTGTAAGACTTAAAATTTGTATAGCTAATGAAGATTGGAGGTTTTGCCCTTACCATCTTAATGGCCATTAATGATTTTTTCTGAGCTTGGTTTAATTTGGCCTTTCTAATATGAATGAATTATGTTGTTGCCCTTCATATTCACTAACATGTGAAGCCTTTCAAAAGGACACTAACTGGCAGTTTGTATTATTACTAGTTGCAGCATTAGGTATCATGATCAGTAAAGTTTATTGCAAAACATTACAAGGAAACCTCTTGCAATATAAATAAAATACTTTTATTCTTGACGTGGTAGTTACTACAGCAGCTTTGCACAGTTTCATTCTTAATAATCCTGGATTATCTTTAACTGCACTTAGGTGCCCTGCTTTTAGCCCAAGTTTATTCTCATTGGCTGTCTCTTTGAACAATAGATTGGTGATGCTGTTTTGCTCAGAGCCAGGGGTGTCTAGCGGAGATGACCAGAACCTAATCTGACCTGAGCTTTTGGCGCGCTGGAATTAATTGCACTTATGCGTACCTCATTTGCTATTTCATGAGTGCTTAAAGTGCATCAAATCTAATATACTAAATAAAGGAGCTATCATTGAAAAAAAATTATTTTATTGACACAGTTTCCCTGGATGACAGTATACGCTTCAACTAACACTGCATAATGTCTGTCCTCAGGCACACTGGAGAACTTGGAGGAACTGTACCTCAACGACAACCCCAACCTGCACAGCCTTCCATTTGAGCTGGCCCTCTGCAGTAAACTGTCCATCATGAGCATAGAGAACTGTCCCCTCACCCATCTGCCACCCCAGATTGTCGCAGGAGGCCCTTCCTTCATCATTCAGTTCCTCAAGATGCAGGGACCATACCGTGCCATGGTCTGAGCCAAGAGCAGCTCAATGCCAGTCCTGATTAACTGCAAACCCTCCACTTGCTCTGCACCCTTTTGCCTGCCCACCCTCATTATGTGTATCATACACTGTAAAGAAAACACACTCGTCACAACAGGTGTCGGTGGGGCAAATAAAAAGAGGATACTGAGGAGGAAAATGTTTCTTTTTATCATCCTTGGGCAGAAGCAAAGCAAACCTTTGGAGACTTGACTTCTGTGTTTCTCCAGTTTATCACGGTCATTTTAGGACGCCAGTCCATCACCCGTAACTCGTCTTTCATTCCGAATCATACAAGAGGAATTATTTCCATCTATTTGCCAAAACTGAAGATATATAAAGTTATATATATTGAGTAACTGTGAGCTAAGTGGCAAGTCTTTCAACCATATAAACCATGCTCCCATTGCCAATGTATTTACGGTAATTACAAGCATCTATTATGTGAGCAAGGATACAATTGTATGCAAAAACAAACAAAAAGTCTTTGGAACTTTTAATTTACTGCTGCTGCCGTGATTTTTAACGTCATCTTGTTATATATTCTTTTGACTCTCCCATTTTTAAAACATTTTTTTTAAACCTCATCTTCCCTTGACATAAATTGTGTTAATTGCTTCTTGACTATAGAGAACAAAGGTCTAATGATGGTGTTCTTTTTTTTTTTTTTTTTTTTTTGGCATTTTGTTTTGTTTTCTTTTTTTAACCTTTTAATTTTTTTTTAAATGTGCCTATGTCTAGAGTGAACCAGTGGTTTATTTCTAAACACGGTTGACCACAAGAGTACAAAGACATAAATTATTTCGGTAACTTTTTTTTTTTTTTTTAAATTACTGCTGTTACTTTTTGTTTTTACTTTTTTAGGGTCTTTTTTAAAAATAAATAGCAGCAGGAGATAGTAAATGCATACATAGAGAAATGCCAATCACACATGCTTGAAAAACAGAAGCAACTTGGACTTTTCTCCAAAGCAGGCAGTGCTGTGGGCCCTGTCTATATTGATTTTATGTGACAAAAAGGTATTGAGAAACATCAGCGCATACATAGGTGATGGGATAAATGATGTTTTTATATATTAATACAAATACTGGTTGTTGCCTTGAGTGCAATTTTTAGTTATGTTTACTTGTTTGATATTATCTTCAGTGTTGGGTTGCATAGCTGTCATCCAGTTGATCATTGACCAACATATCAAGCGTTTTTAAAAGACGTTTTGAGCTTCTGGAGCAAGTGGTGAGTGTATGAGAGTTTAAAAAAAAAAAAAAAAAAAAAGAAGAAAAACATTTATAATAAAACATTGGCCGGTAACTTCTTGAAAGTTCTTTCTTTTTTCTTTTTAAAAGATGTCTTTAATTTTCTGTAGTTTGTTTTCACAGGGTCGAGTTAAGAATCTTAATAGCATCATGCAAACTATTCCCTTGATTTGTATTGATTTGTAACTTAATTTTTTTTAAAGATATCTTTGTTGTCCCACACTGTCCCAGCAATGCTGCTGCTTGTATGCACTTTTTATTTGCATTCTCTATATTAAGACAAAAAAAAAAATCAGTAGTCTCTCATTGATTATTTTTGAATGGGGGCATTTTGTTTCAGAAGTATTTTATTTGTTAAACGGTTGTAAATTTGTATCAATTAAATATAAATGCTGAGTTTCACTGGCTCAAAATAAATGGTAACTTTCTTTGGGGAAGGTTTTCCTTTCAGTCGCAAAGGAACCTGCTCTCTTGAACTGTAAAAAAAAAAAAAAAAAAAAAAGGTCTCTGGGTGTGAGACAGTTTTAATATTCACATATCCTGCTTTCTCTGTTGCAAGCATAACAGCTAACTGCAGTTCAAATGAGCCCAGTTTATTTTAAATCAATTTGTTTTGGGGTTTTTTTTGTTTGTTTTTTTTATTCAAAATGATAAAATGTGCTTTCAGTTAGTATTATCTCCTGTGACTGTGCATTTTAAGAATCCAACAAAAGGAAATCAAACCAAACCTTTTTTGTTTCCTTAAGATGTTTTGCATCCCAATTCTATATTCAATCATGGATCTTTTTTTGTATTGACATGTGTGGGCCTACTTTCTCTGCAGCAGCTTGGTGTGTTTTAGTGGGTTGTGTTGGCCACTCTTCTCAACAGGAAGCCCAAGTGACGTGAGCACCACAGCTCACGTTGGAGTTGGGTCGGGTCAGGGTTGGGGGAACAATGAAACGCTGCTTCTAATTTACCAGCAGAACCTGTTGCTGCTTTTCATGGACTTAAACATATGCTGTTCCGAGACAGAGGGAGCCGAGTAGGGCAGGAGAAGGGAAAACGATCCACTCCCAAGAACGATAGAGACTTCACTCGAAAACCTGACAAGGGACAAATCCACTGACCTTTTCGGTTAAGCATCAGGCCCGGTGGTTTTCACACAGATCAAATCGTTCGGACACAACGATGAGACAACACAAGGTGCATATTTGAGCTTAACGCAGTTACAGTACAAGACTGTCGGAAAAAGACAAAAAAAATTGTAAAAAGGGCTTTCTGTGTTCACGCTCAACAACACACCGGAGGCATTGCATTCCTGGGTTTTATATAAAAGCTTTGGAAGTTTCTTTTGTTTTGTGTGTGTATTTACTTTTAGCTGTAAACAATTGTGTGAAAAATGCCTTCAACGAGTACTCAAAAGTGAGATGTGCATTAGGTATGCAGCGTGAGCGCTGTGACCCATTTTTACATTCAGTCTCTCTGTTTTACTTTATTCATGTGCCATTTTGCAAGGCTGAGAATGCCAGGGTATGAAGAGACGAGATGACGGGAGGTGAGGCACGAACTGAGCGGGGCTGATCGAGTGGAGAGCATTTATCAGATCGTGGAATGTAGTTTTAATGTTCTGAGGAGGAGATGGAGATCACCGACCTGTCCATTCAGTTCCAGGTGCTGACTTGTTGCTGCAGGTGGTGATGATGTATTGCGTACTGGTGCATCCAAAATAATTGGAGTATTTTGTTTATTTTTCTATCGTTTGTGATTTTAGGCCATCGAGAGCATCACAGAATCAGTCATTTTGCTCCTTTTGCTTTTTTGTTTCTGGATCATGAGTCATCATTTTCTTGCCTTGTTATTTTGTACAGGAAACAAGCATGTTGAACACATTTGACATGATTTGTCTGGGTCAGAATCGGGCGTTTTTGCATAGAAGATTTCGATTTAGTGGCTATTTGGTGTATCTGCAAATGCTCCCTTTTTGTATATTGCAAAGGGTGTCGAAGCATTGTGTGGCAATGCTTATCCTACTTAATCTACATTGACAAGCAGCCTTAATGGTCTTTTTTTATGTGTTTGTTTGGCTATTCCTTGTGTCTATGGCCACTGACTGTACTTGATGACAAGCAACTGGTTGTTACAATGTAAATTTGGGTCTAGTTTCTTCTGTCTTATTTTTCCTTTTACTCTGTACAGTAATCTGACGTTATGGTAGGCTCAGTATTACAAAATCTGTAATGTGATGAGTTTTTCAAGAAAACAGAGAGCGCAATGGAAGATGATGCCATTATGCTACCAAGTGGATGTGCATTAGCTTACGTCTCCCTTGTCTTTGGCATTAAAAGGGAATTCCACCAACACTGACTTGCATTGTTATTTTGCGAAAGAACAACGTATTTATTTTTTTAATATCTTATCTCTGCAGTTATATCAGGTTTAATTCAGGAGTTTTGCAGAGAGACTAAACTTAATTTCTTAAAAATAAATCTATACTGAGACATGTTTGGACATGTTTTCAGAAACACAACAAAAAAATTCCAGGTTTGTTTCCACATGAGGGAACATGGATTCATAATTACTCATCTTTTTTGTATATAAACCGAGTCAGCTTTGGTGGAATGGCCCTTTAATGTGAAGCTGTCCAATCTTTCCCAGTGCATACTTATCTGAATCGCACCCAGCCACTGACACATCCTCCTGTAGTATCTCCATACATTTACTTGACTGCCTTATGTGCACCAAGCAAAACCTTTATGACCGCTTGATTTAATCCACAAAAACAGTCCATTTTTTCTTTTATTTCCTTTTTACGCCAGTAAAGAGATGCGGGTCCTTGGACATAACAGATTTTGGATGAGTTGTTTCTTGACTGGACGAGCAGACGCAGACATGACTACCTCTATGTGAGTCTTCATTGCTAACCAGTGACCAAGATCCAGTCTGAGGTGTTTCCACCTGTGTACAGCTGTGTGTTTGAAACAGGAAATCTGGACCAGCAATTAAACAACAGTCTGTTTTACTAAGCACCCCCACCCCTCTCTGATGTTTTATTTGTTTGGATATATATGCCTTTATTAAGCATTATTTGGCAATTGGAAAAGAAGAGAAATACACCGACTCTTGTGCTTGGTTGTAAATGACAAACTTAATCAATGCCGCCCCATTGTAAGAAAATTATTCTGATACCAACTAGCTGCAGAGTACTACTTTGCAAATGAGTGAAAATGACCATGTTTGGTGATGTTCTGTATGTACATACATCTTTTTAACTGTAATAAACTGATAAATATTTACAAATTCATGTGCTTGTATTTAAATTTCACATTTTTTTAGAGTCAGGATTCCCCCCCCCCCCCCCCCATTTTTCTATCGTTTTGTTTCCATTTTGTATTCCAGACAGACATCACAGCATGGGAATATTAAGTTAATATTAACGTTTCCCTAATGTTAAAGGGTAACAGTAATCAGAAGTTAAAAGAGACTTGAAATTAATAAGCTGTTTTTTTCCCCACCATGATGAAAAAACATGAGAGCAAATCCAAAACATCCACATGATTTATTAAAGGAAAGTGCAAGTAAAAACTCATCGTGCTTAATCGTCATCAATCATCATGCTCTGAAAATCAAAACTTACTATAGGCTACTCACCTTTAAAACACAACATCAATAATTTCTAAAATAGCAGAAACCAACCAACCAAATAAACACACACAAATTTTTTTTTTATGTAACCACAGTGGCAATTTTAAGAGGTGGTTGTGCTGTTAAAATGTGGCAACAGCAAGCAGCTGTACAGAGAAACAGTTCCAGTTAGTGGGACATGCACTGGGGCTTCATCACTGGTGGTGTGGGACTTTGCCTTGATAAGAAACTTTTGTAAGAGCTAGTAGTTTCTTCAATAACAAATCATTAAGATTTATCGTAGCCCAAAATGCAATCCGTCTAAAAATACAAAGAAAGAAAAATCTATTTATTAATTTGTAATAAAAGTGTAACGCGCGGCGGACACTAAAGCGGTCGCGCCAGAATGTCACGCTAAAAAGAAAGATTCTTTAAAATACAAGGGGGAGCAAGCGAGTCAGATACCACAGGCACAGAGAGGGAGCAGGTCTGATCAGAAACAGTTTATTACTAGGCCAGGGAGCACAAATAAAACACCCTTAAAATGTACATAATAAAATGTTTGCTCTCTACTAAAAACAATTCTAAAACCCATAAAACTACCATTTTCTACATTCACTAAACCCCCCCTGCTATAATTAGGCCACATGTTCATTATGGGTCCATCAGCAGGCCAGGAATTCCTCCTTTAGAGCAGAGTCCACGCCAGCCCCGTCTTCAGCAAAGAAAGAGCCACCCATCTTCTTGTCCTTCCGCTGGCCCATCACTTCCCAGCCCGGCTTGCGTTCTGCACCCGAATCCATGATGCGACCACCGCCACAGCTCCCCTTGCATCGGTGTCCTGCAACATAACAAATAGGGGCCAGAACAATGGTCCCAGAAGCGGCCCTGGCTCATGGCCATGGTGACCCTCTCCCAATCCAGCTGCACCCAGTAAACAACAGTAGAGACCCTACTCACAAATGCAGGCAGAGGTAAACCTCTGCCCTGCTGTCAATCACACGCGTTGTCTCTTACTGTTGCCGTTCCATGAGGTCAGGACTTGGTCGCCACATCACACTGGCCGTCTTGCATTAACCTTCCAGTCTGGGACCTCTCTCCTTCGGTGCCCAGCTAGCCTGTTTTTAAAAGGTCTTTACACAGCTGATAGGCCACCTCTGGACACACCCCTGCCTCAGCAGGTGGTCCCTATCAGCTAATTTGTCCCATGTGCAGCCAGTCCACAGTGGATAAAAACCATGTCACATAAAACACTAAAAACCATGCAATAGAAACAGAATAAAACCATGCAAATAAAACACTCATAAATAAACACTAAAAATCAGAATAAAAACAATATACAAGATAAATACAAATTTCCACTGTGTGACAAAAGTACACTCTTCTAATGTTCTAAATGAAATAAACAAATGTTTTTCCACTGGTTCCACTTAAGCAGTGGAAGCAGTCTTTGTGTGTCACCCCCGGGGACGATTTCAGCACTCACTGCACAACACGTTTCCTGTTTGTTTTGCATCGCTGCTGACCTGTGCCAGAGCTGAGTCTGTTCTCATTCACAGCTCATCTTGGAAGTGCTGATGTGATTCATTATTCACCTGTGCAGAGAATACAGCTGCAAACGCCACTGATGATAACGGAAAGAAATAGGTTGCTCTAATCTTAAGTATTGCCCGCGGTTTGTCTGCATCC